ATACAAAATTTAAATAAACTAAAATATTTTTTGAGTTTAAGTTGTATGTGGAAAGTTGGAAAATTTAACAAATATAACACGATTTACAAGGAGTAAACAAAAGTTCACCATTACAAAATGAAAAAGTAAAAGTGAATCATAAGCTACAAATCACCTAAACACAATATTGTTTTAAAAATGAAATAAGCATGATGCCAGTATACCTCATTTTAAATACAAATATATTCTGTTAAGTTGCCTGCTAGGCAAATATCTGTATAAATAAACACAATACCTGATCACTCCAACTATTAAACTAAAATTATACTTCTAAGATTCGCTAGGCAAATACTTAATAATACTTCATTTGAAGAAACAGCAAACTACTAAAGCAACTATCTAAAGAAAAAAACAATAGTTTTAATGAATACTTCTACTGCAAACATCTCACCACATACATATGTTGACTTTTTTTTGTTTGAATATTACCACTGTTACACATAATACAACATAATTCTCTAAAACCCTCTCTATGGCATCTTTTTAACATTAGCTTCTTAGTCATAATATTTTTTTTTTACATTTTACCAAAGCTGATTACTTTTTTGTTTGTTTTGTCTGGAAAATTTGGGTCAAAGAAGTAATAAACATAAGGGACAGAGCAAAATAGAATATATACAAAAATATCACATAATAATAAGACAAGTAAATACACAAGTAGAAGTACCCATGTATTTTATCAAGAAAGAATATCTACCAGTAAAGAATTTCCACAGGAAAGACTTTGCTATGAGTATTTATATAATTCAATAATAATGAATGTTCACATAACCAATGTTTGGTTAAAAAAAAAAGTAAGAGCACTTTTAGATACCCCTTCTCTCTATGTTTAAAATGTAAGAGAAAACAAAACAAAAAATATTTGTGGGACCCATTTCAAAGTTCTGAAAAACAAATGAAGAAGCTAAAAGTTCGGAAGGAAATCATAAGAAAACAATGAAAATGACCTGCTAAGCCTCAGGAAGGGGGAAAAAATGCCCAAATAACTTATATTATTTTGCTTGATAAAGACTATATAAGTGATACAACATTTGTCCAAGTATATTAAGAGATAAATACTCAGACCTAAGAAAAATTTTGTTGCATTCAAAGAATGAAGAGATCCAGCCAAAACCATGTAAAATTCAAATTAGGCATTAAACTACCTGCAAACCATAAACATTAGGATATGTTTTTAAAAGTTTCAAGCACCTGAATTACCATTACAGAAGTCTTAAGAATACAAGCAGCTCTTTCTGGGTTGGATTTGCTCCAATTTGTTGGAACTATGAATTAAAGGCCACATCAATAAAACTGCTTCAAAAACTTACACAAATATTAAGATCTCATTGAACCTAATAAAAGAAACAGACTTTCATTTATCAAGGAGCAATATTAATTTGGGCACCGCTTAGGACATTTTGGGTCCCTTCACTTATTGATAAAAGTACTACTATTTATCAGAAAACTTTAAAAATAGTTTGAGTATGCCAAAAATGAATATTCAGTAATTGTGATGGAAGTGATTCCATTTCTGAATTCAACTAGGATTTCCAATTTTGTCTACTAACAATCATGTCAAGAAAACTTCTTTCTGAAGTGTGTCCTAAATCACATTCTTTTCTTACAATCAATGACCTCTTTCTGATTTAATTCAGAAAGGCAGAAAATATATAATCACATCCATCATTCTGTTTTTTATCAATATTATAACTAATAGCAGATTTAACATGAGATTGTTATCACAAAAATAGAATAAGAGTGTTGAGGCAGAGCCAACTATAAATCCTTTTAAAAATCACAAATAATACCCTTTTAATGTAAGTATATTCTGTATCCCTCACATCTTCTCTTGAAATAAAAATAGTTGGTAGATTTGTTTGACTACATTCATTACAGTGTTATATACCCTATAAATCTCTATCAAACCAGGTGTTATTTTCACTATTTAAATATGCTTTTCATAAAACATAAACATACCTTTACACTAATAGGTATGTTGTTTTGTACTTTTGGTAGCTTGCTCCTACAAAGGGAATATTACTTCCCATAACAGGTTATCCGTATAGATAAAAATGTATGTTTCTTCCCTATTTAAGGTTCCTAGAAAATTACAAATTTTTAAGCAAAACAATTACAGCATCATCAGTGCAGGGAAAGAGAACTCCAATGACAGTTTACTCAGACAAAACTAGTTTACAAATTTATTCATATCATAATGTAATTAAAGGCCTCTTTCCACTCCAGAATATGGATTCTATGAAAATGATATACCAAAGCATAATTTGGGCCATTTAGTTACAAAGGAGTTCATAACTGTTATCTGTATATTTTCTCCTTTAATTGCTCCATTTGTTATAATAATACACACTAAAGTGGAATGGTAACATTTTAATCAGCTATGTATAAAAACTAAAGTATTTATTGTATTCATATTTAAATTGAATGTTAAAAATGATTTCCTGAAAAACCCTTTTATTGTGTGTGCTCAAAAGTGAACTTTAAGCTGATCTTATATTGAGTGCGCTCTTTTCTCCCACTCACCTAGAGAGAGGAATCATCAGGTTTCTAGTAAAACTCCGTAACTTAATTGCAAGTAAACATTTCTTTTATTTAAGAAAACAGTGAAATGTTGGGTTTCTTAAGGAAGTACTGAGCAGACCAAACCACTGAATATGGGTCAAGTTAAGTGATGGATGGATGGATGGATGGAAGGAAGGAAGGAAGGAAGGAAGGAAGGAAGGAAGGAAAAGGGGCTTTAAAAAGCTCTAAAGCATATATGAAATTTTATGGCCCTAATGATCACAGTGTATATAACCTTATATTCACTGTAGGAATGTACATGCAAATAAATCAAAATTGTAAATTGTGTTTAACTGCATTAAACAAACACTACATTTAAAAATTCCAGTACACTGAGAATATACTTATCCATAACTCATAGTGACAGAAAAGATAAACAGGGCCTTTGACAACATAAAACGTTTGCTGAGGTATGGCACAATGCAAACTTGAACATGAAAATATCTCAAAGCTCATCTTCAATTCAATTTTGACCTCTGACACAGATTTGCTATTAAATACACCCCTCCCTGTCTCCACTGCTGCCTAACCAAACTATCTGAGTTAGGAGACAGTGCAAAGATGTGCCTTCGAGGCAAACTTTTGTTTTCTAGAGTAAATCTCCCCCAAATACTTCCAGTTGGAATATGTCCACTTCAGCTACTTGACACCAGGGAGTCACTTTTTCCCTTGGGCTTACCTGCTACTATGTAACTATTCTTCCAAGTAGACTGTGGGCATGTTGGGAGATAGATCTTTTCAGCACTTCTGAATCCATGATGACTGCAAATATTACACCTTACACAATCCCACAGGTCTTTCACACTCTTCTCCTTCCCGCCCCTTCTGAAACTCACCCAGGCCACTTGGTGCTCTTCATGTCGCCAATGCCTGCCCACCTGGAAGCAACCAGTATTAAGTACTCGAGGAATAATCCTCAAGATCAAGCAACTGCCTGGATTTCAACATGTGGTGAAAGAAAACGTGTGTGGGGGTAGGCATATGAGCGTTACAGATAGCAGCTGTCCATTAAGTGGTTTAAATCTGTTGGTTAAAAAGCTGAGTAAACAAATACACAGATGGGTCCTGTTCCTTGGGGATTAAGGATTCTGAGGAGCCTCCCAAGGTGGCCAGTTCAGCCTCTCTTGACTCAAAACGCCCTTCGGTTCCGCTTTCAAAAGCCCCAGACCTGCACATCGCCTTTCTCTTCCTGTTCCCTCTAATCAAAGTGTCACCCTACGCGCCAGGTGACCTTAGAGACTTACCTAAGAGAGCTCAGAGTCAGAACAGTGAGACAACTTTTCATCCGTGCGCTAGAGGCCCGAACATCTACAGCAGGGGAGAGCCCACATCGAGGTGAGGGGTGGGGGAAGGCTGGCCTCTGGGATGGGGAGAGACGCACCCGCGGCGCGCACGGCCACAGAAAGGGTCTGGCCCGCACCGCTGCCGCACGTGCGCCGCCGGAGCGCTAAGGATCTTAAGAGACCCTGGCTTTACCCCCGCGGGCCTCCGCGGACCTACAGGTAAAAGCCTAGGGAGACACTCTCCCTTTTTCCGAAAGGTGTCTGTGCCCCTCCCACATTCCCTCCCTAAATACCCTAAAGCAAGATTTCACTCCAAACCCACCAAGACTGAAGAGTCCGGTCCAAGGCGGAATAAAAGTAAAAACCAGGACAGATCCCTGGGGGAAGCAAGCTGTGCTAGAGCATGGACCTGGGTAAGAGCTCGATCAGGGGCAGCAATTGAGATGTAAGGTTGTCCTGAAGAGTCACTAGGGGCCAGGAGTTTCTTGACAGGAGAAACAAAAGTGCCCCTGGTCCTCTCTAGTTCCTAGAGAAGTACTTTTGAAATGAACGCCTAAGTACCTAACTTAGGGAGGAGAAGCATGCACTTGCCCAATTGAGTAAATAAAGGTCAGCAGTTGGATCAATACAGTGTGCGCTTCTAAACCGCCAGATGTTTTTACTGTTGTTTGGGGGGGGGGGGGGGGGGAGAAGAAGAAAAGACAACAAACAATAATAATAAAAAAGAGTAAACAAACACACATCTGGTGTTTGGACACACATTTTCCCCCAGCCGCGGTCTCTCTGGACCATGCAACATTTTGCTTATTCAAAATTAAAAATCCTGAACCAACAGCGAATCTCCCTTTTCTCGACTCACCCTTCCCCCATACAAAGCAAAATGCAAAAAGAACAACAAGTGGTGATGTTGGGTCCCGAACGTGACCCCAACGCTGAGCCGAAATTTGACACATGTCACACTCGCCCCGTGGCGCGGAGCACTGGCGCTGGGGCGAAACTTTGCCGCGGCGGTGAGAGGAGCGCGAATAAAGTCGCTGCCCAGGCCGGCGTGGAGGTGGCTGGGACAGGGTGGGGTGAGGAGGTGCAGCGCGCCAGAGTGAGGGCGAAGAAACTTACCGCGACTGAGGACGCGGTGGGCAGCGTCCCAGAAGGTGGCACCCGCGGCTCCCAGGCAGAAGCCCCCAAACAACACACCCACGCGCGAGTCCCGGCAGCTGCTGCCGCGAGTGGGGGGCGCGCCCGGGGATGGGGGCCGGAGGAAGCCACAGCCGGCGGACGCGGCCGCCGCATAAATAACCAGAGCGGGCTTTCTCGGGCGGGCTGCGGGTGGCTTGGGGCTCCAGCCGGGGCGAAGCAGCGGCCGCGGAGCTGCACGCGCCGGCGTGTCTCGCGCTTTCTCGGAGGCTCGCGCTGTCTCGCGCTGCCGCTCCCCCCACCCGGATCTGCGTGCGTGTGTATGTGTGTGTGTGTGTGTGTGTGTATGTGTGTGGGTCTGTGTGTGTATGTGTGCGCTAGCGGGCGCGCGCACCCGGGCGCGCGCGCGTGTTGTTGGCAATGCAAACTGTACACACACTGCGCGCGGGGCCGCCTCTCTTCCAAGGGGCGGGGTGGGGGAAGGGACGCCTCAGAGGATTCTGAAGTACTGCTGGGCCACTTGTTTGTTTTGTCTTACTTTGCGCTGTTATTGTTGTCGTTGTTGTTGATCCAAAAAGCGGTTTGGAACCAGCCGGTTAAGATGCCTGTCTCCCCACTCCAGCTATCCCCCACTGTCCCCCAACTTCATGGGAGGGGGAAATGCGGGGCAGAATATTGTTCGGATTGGCAGTGGAGCCTCCAGACTGACGTCAGGTCCACCTGCTATGTAAACAACTCGCTGGAGAACTTGTTTGTTCTGCGCCTGATCTTCCCCCACCCCCACCCTTCTCTCCACCTCCCGCTCCGCCTCCTCCCGTTCGCCCCAGACGGCGAGTCAGGGAAGGGGGTGGGGAGGGAGGCGAGAACAAAACCGTATGCTGTATTGGCAAAGCTGAGTTGTGTCTGCTGCTTCTTGGCAGTCCCCAAAGTACGTCCTCTCAGCAGACGGAGCTGCTGGCAAATGAAACAGGGGATTCCACGTGAAGTGCAGAAAGCCTCGAAGGGATCCAAAGCCCTTGGTGGCAGGTAGTTAAAGTACAAGGGAGTCAGAAAGGGAGACCCCAGCGTGCCTTAAAACGCTGATTGGCCTTTCTTTTCATGGTGTGCGCCTCTACGGCCCTGGGCGGAGAAAGGCCGAGTGTCTTTCTCACTCCTCATTGTCGTGGCTCCTGTCTCACTTGGGCCCAGGAGTTCTTGGGCTTCCTGGTGATCGCGCAGCCCAGGTCACCGAGGCGGGGCTTGGAAGAACGGGGGCCACGGAGCTGGGAATTTTAGGGTCTGAGGCTTTCCTGACGACCCTAACAGTTACTGGGGGAAACAAAAGTAACAAGAATGAAAGGAGAGAAGAAATTGCCAGAGCCTGCTCCACACGCCCTTCAAAGCCGAAGCGCCGGTGTGCGGGATGCTCTGGCCTTGTGTCCAGCACCTGGTCCCTGATCTATCCGCAGGGTGTGAAGCGGCTTGCTGGCCCGCGCAGGACTGAGGGGAATGACAGGGGAAAGGCCGAAGGCAAGACAGCCCGTTTGGGACGCAAGACCAGAATCTGGGCAGGGGTTCCTCCGGAGCCCCTTCCTAGCCCAAGCGCCGGGTGGGCGGTCACTCCCTACCATCTCCCACCAGCCCCTCCTCAGGCTGCCTGCCCGCGGGCCGTGGACCTTCCGCCCGCTGCGTTTTCTGCGCGCTCGCCGCCTGAGCCTGTGCTCTGCTCACAAGTCAATCGTAAAGCGTGGCTTTCCGAAAGGCGCTGAAACTTTTCTCCAAATAGCTGCAGCCAAGAGGCCGTAGTGAACCGAGCTTGGCCCGGGACTTCTTCCCGACCCTCCTCCCCGGAGAAAAAAACGGCTAACTTTAACATCTCGGTGGCAGAAGAGTGGGTGGTGGTGACTGGGAAGATGAGTGAGCAGCACCAACTTGCCTTCAGACTCTTCCCTTTTCTCAAAGAGCAGCACGCCCTTTTCTCTAAAGGGCAGACGCGAGCTCACACACACACTTGGCACCAACTCTCCCCTTCAGAACCCGCAATTCTCCCGGGGAGGAAGCAGCCCTGGCACCCACATTTGTAAACATGCCGTCAGGTTTTCTAGTGAAACCAATTAAGTCAATAAGCCACGGGGCTGGTTTTAGAAGGGCGGCCCCAGCCAGGAGTACAAGGACCTAGGTAGACTAGGAGCTGAATTGCTGTGCTGTTAGCTTTTAAACTCCAGGCAGTCGTTAAGTTGCTCTGCTTATGGATTGTGTTCTCACCCTTTTCCAAATGGTCTTTGCTAAATGCCGGCTGAACTGTGGACAGATGATCCGAATCTTTTTTAAAAGATGGGAACGCAGAGAGGAGGAGGGAGCAGTCATTAATATTAGAAAACGCCAGACCCAAATGGCCCTACCTTGCCCTTATGAAAGGTAGGGATTATGTTATGTTAAGTAATCTGCGTTTAAGCTTCGCTAACAAACCCAAATTAAAACGGACTCTCTGAATTAACCTGCAACTCTTTGGGAAAAGTGGAAGGGCAAACGGTCGAAATCCTTAGAAAACCTAGAACGTCCCTTTCCACGGGATTTGTGAATAAAGGTAATAGAACAGTCCAGAGGTGTACAGCGTCTCACTTCTTTTTCTTCTTCCTCCCTTGCATACTTCGACCCCACTTACTTCCCCTTCTCTCCAGGTGTCCCGAGGAGGAAGTGAGCTGGAAACATGGATTACAAAGGAGTCTGGGCCACTGGAAGATAATAAGTTCAAGTTCCTAGAGAGGAGAAGGACGGTTACTTTCTCAAGCCTTGGAGGGGAACGGGTTTAGTTAGCCTTTCACTTTTTTTTTTTTCTTTTGTACACAAAGACACGTTTTGGTGAAATTCGCAGCCTCTGATGCTTCTTTCCTACAAGTACAAATAGCCAAGCGCCTAGAGGTGCAAAAGGCTATCTCAGTCGGAGGAACTCATCTTCATAAACTGGCTGCATACCCTCCCAGTCGTCTTTGTAAGACAGACTGTACCCCCCAATCCCCCTTGTGCCCCTGTTTATCTTCACCCCTTTATCTTTTTCTTGCCTGCTGCGGTTCCCCTGGCCACCAACCCTTCCCGACGGGAAGACGCCCTGGGAGTAGAGAAAGCAGGTCCTGCCAGGAGCCGCTGCCCTTGCTGGACCCCTCTGCCACAGCCAATGGGCTGGGCTCGGGTTCGAGAGGTGAAAGTTCAGGCCCGGGGCTCGCTGCTCGCTCCCCTTCTCCTGACGCCTCCCTCCCAGCCCCCGCTTCTGGCCACAGTGCAGACATAGCCGGCTACCAGGGGCTGCCACGGTGGCACGTAGTTTGTTGATGGGTGGTCATAAAATATATTTATTTGCAATTCCTTGAACTCGCCCACCACCCCCGCCCCAGCATGGCCCGGAACACTGCAGGCTTTGTTCGCCTCGGCTGCTGCTGGAGCCGGCCGGGGTTTAGCGCTCTGTGCTAACAGACTCCAAAAAAGTTCAAGTATAATAATAGGAAAACCGGGTTTCCGCAGCGGAGGAAAACGCTGAAAGGGCAAACAGCGAACGAATAGTTTTCTTTTGCACAAGTCACTGGTCAGCTCACTGGATCACGCCAGCCTTTAAACGAAACACTGCTTATCCGAGAGAGACAGAAAGCCAAATTCTGTCCCTGAAGTCGCCGCACAGCTCCTAGCCACAGCTCAGGTCTGCTTTGGAGCACGTGGGTCTGCAAAAGTCATTTAAAGAGGTTCCAGGGAAAAGTTAAACTGGGTTACTGGGTGAGTGAGGAGTTTCACTAAGTGGACCTCGAGGGTCGCTCACGAAAATTTATTTGATTTCCATTTTATTTTACGATGAAACCGCAAATCAACAAAATCCGAAGCACTGATCTTTTGCGGTCCCAAGGAAAGATAAATTCGTTTGAAATGGTGTCTGCCAGCGTATCTTGTGCGAAATAAACCACACCAAATGAGACTAACTAAAGCTATTTTGAAGAAAAGCGACGGACTCAGATGACACACTAGAAATGTTTAATGTTAATAATGCTCTGAAATAGCCGCTTGGATTTTTAGTTAATTGTTATAAAAATATAGTTATTCACATACTAAAATCTGTTTTTTTTTCCAGAACTTTGAGTCTAACAACAACTACATTTTTCTTCTAAAGCCATCTTCAGGGTATTTGTGACTTACGCCTAAATTTTAACTCACTTATTAGATGTCTGGAGGATCACAATTTTTAAAAGCATTTTTTTTTCCTGCTAAAGATACCACCTCAAAGTTATATTACTAAAAATAGTCTGTAAGAAAAAATCTTTAGGTGTAAGGCAAAATATTTTTTTCTTCCACACAGAAAGAGGCACGTACCAGGTTCCAATTTTTCACTTCAACTGCAGTTTTCTGAAGACGAGTAAATAAACAGACTCCTTTAACGCAATCCATCCCCACTCTCCTCCCAGATACATTTAGGAAAAATAGAAAATTCTAGTTTCACCGAAGTCAAAACAAGGGTAATATGTGTTACAATGTCAAATTGGATGTAGATGTTGTGAAATTGGTGGAGTTACACCACCATCTGTCGTTAAGCTTCGGGACTACAAAATTTGGGACCTATAATAAATCTTAATGAGCTTTCCCAACTTTTTTTTTTCTCTTTTTTTAAATCACAGACTGTACTTCCCATTGTGTTTTTATGACCTGTGGTCTGAATTTACGTGTATCCTGAGGAAACAAATGTTTGTTCATAAGCCCTCTACTTCTACCAGGATTCTCTACTCTTCAGAAATAAATACCCCACATCTGCCAGCCTGCAGATAAAGCCTTTTCAAATCAGTTTTAGGTCTGCAGATTTCCATCGCCCCCAGCTCCTACCCTGGCATCTACTAAGCTGCTGATATGAACCATGGGGACTCAACTTCAGGGGCCAGCAGTGTTTTGCAGTGAAAATTGATGCCCAGTTCTCCCTTAAATAAATACAAACTAATTTTTTGTTAATATAGCTAATCTTAAAACACGTAACTACAACATGTCTCTGCTAAGAAGTTGGATGCAAGTGTCAAAAAAAATGACTGGAAGATAGTTAATATTAGATTCTAGTTTTGATTGATCTTGTTGGAAAGACAAAGATGGGTTGCTCTGGGATAGAATCTTCCAGGCAAAATAGAGTCTATACAAAAGAAGACTTTATCCAAATGAATACAGCAAAAGGACAATTACTGAATGAAGATTTCCAATACTGAATCAAAAGCCTCCATCATGAGTTGAACACTACATCTTTTTTACATAACACTCCAAAGGTATAATATGTATATTGTATCTATATTTTAAGTGTTTCAGAATATCTTACTGTATAACATTGCACCCCTTTCTGTTTTAATGAATTGGTTATCAAGTCTATATTTTCCAAAATAAATAAATAAATAAATAAA